CACTCATTGGGGAATGTCAACTGCAGATTTGCTGCACTGCTGTAATATATTCCATCTTGACAGTTGCTGTTACCCCAGACTGAACATATAAAGGGGAGATACCTCAGAAAGAGGTAGGTAGACAGTCTATCATTAATCCTACCAAGTCTAAATACTTGAGACAAGATTCTCAGCTGATGTAAATTTCCATAGCTCCATTTGAGTCAATGAAACTACACAGTTTACCCCAGCTGAGGATTTATTTTTCGTCAGCAATAAATGGCATAAGCTGACATGAACAAAATTCAGAACTAGGCTGTGATGAAGCAGAGAAACTGCCAGCAAGCTCAGCAGGGGTAAAAGAGAGACTTTGGGCCCAGCTAGCCCTGCCTTGTTATGCCTGCAGCCAAGGCCAGGCTTGGAGGGAGGAGAAAAGGAGGGAGCCTGGCTCAATTTGTGGCTGATTGGTGAAGGGGTAGGAAGTAGCTGCTTTCCTAACTGAGGGGAAGGATCACTAACTTGCTTGCCACCTGGGAGGAAGCACTGTCTCCCCAGCCATGGGAGACTGTGGAGGAGACCTAGGAGCCTCCAGCCCTGGAGGTAACTGAGTGGGTGAAGCCCAAGAACGTTGTAGAGTTTGGCCTCACCAGCTTGGGGGTGCCCTGCCTGAAGGAGCCTGAACCCATGACCAGATGCCCCTACGAAAGGCAGCACACTGTCCAACTAAATTGTTCAGTTTGGGCATGGCCCCTCTAGTCCAGACACTGGTGAGAAGTAGCCTAGGGCAGTGGGTTTAGACTCCCTTCCAGGAGGGCTGCTCCTGTTCAGGGGCTTACAGTCACAGAGCCCTTAGCTGGGACATTGTGGAAAGGGAGGGTCCAGGTCCCTCTAACACCCCCCACCCTTAAAGACTGAGGTCACCCACTCAAGCAAGGGACTGGAGGCCTTTCCACTCTGGGGAAAATACTTCTACTGTGGATGCTCAAAGTCTAGCAAAAGGTATCTTTCCAAATCAAAACAATACTTTGCAGCTAATAGTGCTGGTTGATTGTCAGCTGAAATTTTGAGTAGATTTTATTACCCTTTCTGTCTGTCATTTCTTCCTTGTTATCCCCAGCAACCTTCAAAGTTTCATAATGACAAGTATAAAATAATTTTTAAAGGCCATCTCATTTCAATTTAAGTTGTGGCTTTCATTAATTAGACTTGTGTCCTCCAATTTTGGGGGCGGTTCTGTGGCCTATATTGTGCAAGAGATCAGACTAGATGATTACAATAGTCCCTTCTCACCTTGGATTCTATGAATAAGTAGCTAGGAAAGTGCCAATTATGGTGTGCTGAGTCTTCATAGAAACCTTTGAAACTCTATAGACACTTTAGACTTGTTCTGAGCAAAAATATCCCTTGATCTCAGTTGGTGCAGGATTGGCACTCATGGTGTAAAGCAGCATTTTCAAAGTATTTTCATATCCAACTAATCAATTTGTATTTCTTTACATCCTGATCCATTGTCTCAGAGTCAAAAAAAATTTGGTCACCAGACATTTATTAAGGATCTTTTGCTATGTAGTGGAGTTCATTGTTAGTATTTTACTGTAAAGAAAATGTGCTTACGGCCACTGAATGCAGTGAATCTTTGTTTGGGCAGCAGGGAAAAGAGGATGGGGCTCCTTTAAAGGTCCTTACTGCATTTGGGTTATAAGGAGGGATGCACATACCTGAGCAGAGCCAAGGGGCAACAGAAAGTGGCTGGTCCAATTGGGGCTCTGACCCATCATGTGCACTTGGGGGAGGAAAAGGTATTTATACCTTAAGCAATCCACAAGGAACTCATTCTTGAGAGGGCTTCAGTAGCTGGAGCTGTCCATCCATTTAGCCAAAGAATAAATACAGACAGGACAAAGCAGTGCCTCCACTTTAGAGGGATGGTATGTAGAAGAAAGAAGATAAATTAGTCTTAATTCTTAGTCACAGTCTACTGATACTATCAATACAGGTGCTGGTAGTGGGTGAACACCTGTCCATTTTGACTGGCTTGAGAAGACAAGATACCCACATGGCCATCAAACAAAAATCAGATAACCAATTTCAGGCAATAATCAATTTTGTTGTTCAGATAGCAGTGTAAAGTTTTATATTACATTATCTATTAATCATACAAATCATCCAGTCACCCTGTGTCTAAGAAATTGTATGTGAAAACACTGGATCTGTTTCTGATCTCATGTCACTTGTACACTACAGTTACTTTACTGTGCCTGATTCTGCTCTCATACTCTTCAGTTCCACTGAAGTCAATAGAAATAAACCAGTGTAAGTGAAAAGAAAATCAGACCCTGACTTCAGTGGAGAGTTACTCCTGATTTACACTAGCGTAGGAGAGAAAAGAATAGAGCTTGATTGCTTCTCCAGCAATACAGCACATTGGTTGGAATTTTCATATAACTGACAGAAAATTGTGAAGAGAGCTTGATTGTTCTCAATGTCTAATCCATTTATTTCATTATCTCAAAACTCTAGCAGGAGGGCTGTGTTATTTATAAAGTGCATAGCAGTTTCTCCTCCCCTCACCTTCCCCCCCACCCACCCACCCACCGCGCACACACACATACACATTGTTCTCGAATACTAGGAAAACAGCTGATTTATTCTTGTCACGTCACATGCTGGGGGTCTGAAAGGGTGAAGACTGCCTCAGATGCTGTACAATGTCTGATTCAGTTTGCTATTGACTAATGTCTCCAGTGCATAAAAATACAACTAGTCCCATTAGTTAAGTGCAATTCCCAGCTAAAAAATAAATAATACATGAACGTCCTCCACCATCACCTCAGCATGGTGTTTAGTGGCTGCTTAAAGGTACCATATAATCTTGTGGATGACTTAATCGTTCCCTGCTTCACTTTTCAAAGGAGAAGAGTGGTTATTAACCCTAGTGTTCTCACAACATTTTCACAGTAGATCTTTATTGAACAGCTAGTGCTGCTTAGGTGGCTAAAGAGAGGATCTGAGTGTTATAAAACACTTGCTGCTGGAAAATTAAACAAAAATAGAAGAGCTAATAAGGATTTTAAAAAGATTATAGTGGGAAAGGGTGTCTCGCTTTGATCTTGTACCAGCTAAAATTTCAAATCTTGAATAGCTAATCAAAAAGAAATGAAAGCACACAATGATTATCACACAAGTATTACTTTTTCCCCTAAGATTTCATTCTAGGTAGCTTTTTTCATTTTTTAATACATATTTTTGTAATATGTACCTATTTAAAAGATTCAGTACTAGGCAAATTGGTTGAAACTATAGTAAAGAACAGAATTATCAGATGGCTTTTGTAAAGGGAAATCATGCCTCACAAATCTACTAGAATTCTTTGAGGGGATCAATAAGAATGTGTACAAGGGTGATCCAGTGGATATAGTGTACTTAGATTTTCAGAAAGCCTTTGACAAGGTCCCTCACCAATGACTCTTAAGTGAAGTAAGCTGTCACGGGATAAGAAGGAAGGTCTTTTCCTGGATCAGTGACTGCTTAAAAGATAGGAAATAAAGGGTAGGAATATATGGTCAGGTCTCACAATGGAGAGAGGCAAAGAGGTTATCTCTCAAGGATCTGCACTGGGACCTGTACTGTTCAACATATGCATAAATGATCTGAAAAAAGGGAAGTGGCAAAATTTGCAGATGATACAAAACTATTCCAGATACTTAAGTCCAAAGCAGATTGTGAAGAGTTACAAAGGGATTTCTGGGTGACTGGGCAACAAAATGGCAGATGAAATTTAGTGTTGATAAATGCAAAGTAATGCACGTTGGAAAACATAATCCCAAATATACATATAAATGATGGGGTCTAAATTAGCTGTTAACACTCAAGAAAGATATCTTGTAGTCAGAGTTCTCTGAAAACATCCATTCAATATGCAGCATCAGTCAAAAAAACAGAATATTGGGAATAGTTAAGAAAGGGATAGATAATAGGACAGAAAATATCATGTTGCCGCTATATAAATCCATGGTACGCCCACATCTTGAATACCATGTGCAGATGTGGTTGTCCCATCTCAAAAAAGATGTATTGAAATTGGAAAAAGTACAGAAAAGGGAACAAAAATTATTAGGGTACAGAACAGCTTCCATATGAGGAGAGAGTAATAAGACTGCGACTTTTTAGCTTGGAAAAGAGATGACTAAGCAGGGATCTGATAGAAGTCTATAAAATCATGACTAGTGTAGAGAAAGTAAATAAAGAAGTGTTATTTACTCCTCATAATACAAGAACTAGGGATCACCAAACGAAATTAAGAGGCAGCAGGATTAAAACAAAAGAAAGTATTTCTTCACACAATGCACAGTCAGCCTGTGGAACTCTTTACCAGAGGATGTTGTGAAGGCCAAGACTATAACGGGGATCAAAAAAGAACTAGATAAGTTCATGGAGGATAGGTCCATCATTGGTTATTAGCCAGGAGGGGCATGGATGCAAAATCATGCTCTGAAGTGTCTCTATCCTCTATTTGCCAGAAGCTGGGAATGGGCAATATGGGATGGATCACTTGATGATTGCCTGTTCTGTTCATTCCCTCTGAAGCACCTGGCATTGGCCACTGTTGGAAGACAGGACACTGGGTCAGATCAGGGGTTCCCAAACTTGGTTCGTGGCTTGTTCAGGGTAAGCCCCTGGCGAGCCGCGAGATGCTTTGTTTACCTTAGCGTCTGCAGGTACGGCCGCTCACAGCTCCAGTGGCTGCGGTTCGCCATTTGCCAATGGGAGCTGCGGGAAGCAGTGGCTTATGTTCTTATGATCTAATTTCAAAAAATGTAATAAATATTACTTGACAGTAAAGTGGGATTAGATGGAAATTTTGACTGCATAAGGACTCTGTAATCAGGGCCTAACCTCCTGGTCTAAATAACACAATACAGTTTAACTGTTTCACTATATTTGCTATATTTTTTTAAAATATGTACAGATTGTTTTACTCTGATTTGTTGTTTCTTTACATGGTATATTTCTTGTTCTAGGTTCTATCCTTAGGAGCAGATGTTCTGCCAGAATATAAACTCCAGACACCTCGCATCAACAAGTTTACTATATTGCACTACAGTCCTTTCAAAGCAGTCTGGGACTGGCTCATCTTGTTGCTGGTGATATATACTGCCATATTCACCCCTTACTCTGCGGCCTTCCTTCTGAACGATAGCGAAGAACAGAAGAGACGAGTGTGTGGATATTCTTGCAGCCCACTGAATGTGGTAGACTTAATTGTGGATATTATGTTTATCATTGACATTCTAATAAACTTCAGAACAACATATGTAAACCAGAATGAAGAAGTGGTAAGTGACCCAGCAAAAATAGCAATTCACTACTTCAAAGGCTGGTTCCTAATTGACATGGTTGCTGCAATACCTTTTGACCTGCTGATTTTTGGATCTGGCTCTGATGAGGTAAGCTAAAATAAAAAAGTAGCCTTTTCTTCCCAAGTATTGACTTTGATAATCTGCTGTATCCACACAGAACATTTCCCTGGCAGTGAGCTCAATTAGGCTGTTCAGTAATCTTCCAAGGAAAGTGGTGAAAGCCCCAGCACTTGGGACTTCAAATTTAACTGTACAAAACACCAGTAAAATGGTAGCGGATGAGCCTTCTCTGGCAGAAAAACAGACTGGATGACCCAAATCAATTTTTTCATTCTCAAATTCTTTGACACAATCTTCTTTACAAATAACAACATAAACATACCATACACACAGTGTTGCAGAATAATCTTGGTGTTCTAAAGACATTTCTCTCTTCCTGTCGTTAACCATGTGTGTGAGTGAAACTGTTCTGTGGATAGGTTGAGGGAATCACTCATCAGGGCTGTCAATCTGGCAAGGTTAAACCAAAACTATTACTAGGTTTGTTTTTTAAATCATTTTGGAAGTTCAAATCCTTGCTAAAATAACCTGGGCCAGATCCTCAACTGGTATAAACTAACGTAGCTCTATTAACTTCACTTGAGCTGGTCTGATTTATACCAGCTGGGGCTTTGGCACAAGAGATTTAGTACTATGGTATTTAGGTTTAATATCTATGCTCAGATGCAAAACTTAAATGTGTTATATACAGTTTAGGTAGAGCAAGTGTAAACTCGACTTGCACCAGTTTTCAAATATATACATTTGAAAACTGTCCCAATATGTGTAACGCGCACACATTTTGTGGATACCTGACCCAGTTCTGCCTCCTTCCAAAGAGTTTTTATTTAATTTAAGAAAGGCTAAAGTTATAATGTACTTTGTGATGAAAGCTGAACTGACAAGTAGAAAATTCTTTTTTGAGGGTAGGTAGAATTAGAGCAGTTTAAAAAAAAAAATAGCAGCAGCAAACCCAGCAAAATATGATGATCTGTGGGTTTCACAAAGGACACAATGAATCCACTTTTCCCCAATACCATTTTGCACATTTTGAAATAAGGGAAACTGAAAGTTTTGTGAATAATGTGTTGTGAAGGGAGACGAAGGTGAACATTAATGCTGAATTGATAATCTTGGCATGAAATTTACTCATTTCACTAGGTACCATCAGTGTCGCAATGTGGAGACTGTTATGTCTACATATACTAAGAGCAAAAACATACATTCCATCTAAAATGACTTTTTATTAAAGGAAAGCAACAAGAAGAAGGAACAAAAATCAATTCTTTGTGAAAGAGCACAATTAGTGTGTTGTCTTTGACAGACTGAACTGAATTCTGAGAACAAGATGGCTATGCTCAGAAGGGCAGTTCTTAGAAACTGAAGCAAACAAGTATTTAAGGGCCTAGAGCAAACAAATGACACGTTTAATAGCCATTTGCACCTCAGAGACTAGTGATAATTTATAGTCTTACAAAAATTCAGAAAGAAGGAAATGTGTAACCTACAGTTTCTCTTACTTCTGCTTTTTCAGTTGTATGTAATGAGAAGGGCTTCCCTCCCTCCTTCCCTTCCATTTTCCCTCCTTTTTTGATGGATAGATACTATGGTGATGTGGACCATATAAATACCTGGGAGGGAGGATGAGAGATCAGGTCCATAGGGTTCCTTCTGTTTCCCACTGAAGTCGATTGAAAGATCCCCATTGCTTTCAATGGGCTCCGACACTTATAGAAGGGAAAATGGGGAGTCTGAAAATATGTGCAGGGAACAAAATTAGTGGAAAGAAAGTCTTGTGAAAGAAATACAATAAAAAGAAAGAGATGGTGCATTAAAGGGATGAGGAAAACATGAACCATCCCCTCACCAACAAAGAGCTTTTCTCTGCAAAAGAAAACCAAAAGGCGCAGAGGCAGATACAGCAATAGCAGTATCTTCTTATCTTTTGCATTTGTCACACTTACCCATGGTCAGTCTCCTGTCTTTCTTCTGAGTCAAGTACTATCTCCTAACTGGCACCTGCAAGGAAAAGAATGCAAAAGGGGCACCACTGATAGCACTGCCATGTGGTGCTGCTATTAGCTTGGACCAATTTGTTCCTACAATGTATGGAGAAGAAGAGAACAAATCTAGGGTGGAAGCTGCAGTGAGCCTATGAAGAGGGGCTACATCACTGCTCCTCCACCTTTCCCCCTCTGGAAATTATCCACCTGACCCCTATATCGTGAGAAAAAAAGTCCATAGAGTCAGGGAATGGAGAGAAGCCAGGAAGGAACCACTCTTAAGTGGCCTGATCCAAAGCCCACCATGGTTAATGAAGACTCCCAATGCTCTTTAGATGTGTCCCTAAGTGTCATGGTTCTCCCCTCCAACAGACGTATGGCAGGAAAAGGTGTGGAGTGGTAGATTCTATAGTGATGGGCACTTTAGAAATACTCTAGGTAGGTAGGTAAAATTGCAGAACAGCAGCAAAGAATATTCTGGCAGCTGAATTCCCAAATAGCACAAAGTTCAGCAAAAAAATGGCTTGTTGCTTATAGTGGATATAAAGAAATCAATTTATTCATTTTATCCCTCTCTCATAATTGAATATTTCTGCTAACTGTAGAATCTAGTTAGCTTTGTCTGAGGAACAACCGGTCTATGGACTTTATGACCAGTTCAGCATATCTTTTCAATAAACTCCTCTCTCTCTCTCTCATTTATAGCATTAGATATAGAGTTACTTTCTAAAGCTGCTGGGTGAAAGTCTAAACTTCACTTTTATTGTAGTTTGGTTTCCTATGTTCCTGAGTATAATATTTCTAGTATGATCCCTTTTTAATAGCCCAGTGAGAGAGAGTGAATGTAAAACCGTTACAATGAAGTGCCTGTCATTTCATAGACACTTTCTGTCATGGGGGTGCCTTTCCCTGAAAAAGCTTTTTTCATTACCTAGGGGTTCTTCAGATAAGAGCCCCTGCTAACAATTGTGCCTGGACATCCTTTTTATTAGCCAACATCAGTTCTAAAGAGAGCATCATGTGTGCTCACCCAGCTTTAGCAAACCTAGCTATCCAACTGTGCCTAGAAAGGGCAGGATATAATCAAAATGCCACATGCAGCATTATTTGAATACCTCTATTTGTGCCTTAGTTTGTCAATACAGGAAACTAATATAAAGAAATCAATTTATTCATTTTATCCCTCTCTCATAATTGAATATTTCTGCTAACTGTAGAATCTAATGTAAAATAAACCTTTTCAGTTTAAATAGATTTTTAACACAATACTATTATAGCTGTTTGTCCGCTGTTCTCTTCTCTGTGTGTTTTGACTGTTGAGTGACATCCGTGAAACTTTGGGAGGTTAGGGGATGACATACATTATCTTTTTGCCTTCTGTTACTCTGATAGTTTATTTTGAATCTTGTTGCTAGAATCTGGCCTAGATTTTCAGAAAAATGTACATGCAGTTGCATAGCTAAGTGTGTGCGCACACACAAATAAATCATTTGCATGCACATTTACAATGATTGGTCATGATACCTTGATCAAAAATTAAATATACTTTTTTTTTTTTTTAAGCACCTTATTTACCTACCATCTTCCCACTTCAGGTCCCAGATGCAGTGAGCGATGAGGACGGAGGGATCTGATGATAATCAGAGTTTTTTCTTTATCATATAGGCCCCAGTTCAGCAAAAGACGTAAGCACGTGCTTTAATGGCTTCAACAGGAGTGCTCACGTGCTTAAAGTTATGGACATAAGTGTTTTGCTGAATCGGGGGTAGAGAGGGAAAACATCATCCTGAAAGTTACAGAAGGAAGTAAGATCCTGTGCTATTGCTATTTGTACAAATAATAGTAATACTGACCAGTGTTACTGTATAAGGCATGTTCAAACCCTGTATCAACAGGAAAAAAAGTAATCTTAGGAAATGGGGGGGGGGCACGAGAACCCAGGAAATGGGCAGCAAGTTTAAAACAAATAAATGGAAGTTCTTCACACAGCGCACAGTCAACCTGTGGCACTCCTTGCCTGAGGAGGTTGTGAAGGCTAGGATTATAACAGGGTTTAAAAGAGAACTAGATAAATTCATGGAGGTTAAGTCCATTAATGGCTATTAGCCAGGATGGGTAAGGAATGGTGTCCCTAGCCTCTGTCTGTCAGAGGGTGGAGATGGATGGCAGGAGAGATCACTTGATCATTACCTGTTAGATTCACTCCGTCTGGGACACCTGGCATTGGTCACTGTCGGTAGACAGGATACTGGGCTGGATGGACCTTTGGTCTGACCCAGTATGGCCATTCTTATGTACAATTGAATGGGCCATTTTAAATTGGTAACAATGTCAGAAAAAGGGATGACTTTGTGGTTAACATGAAGGCATATGAATCAAATACTTCTATTCTGAGCTCTGAATTAAGTAAATCTCACAATGCACATGCTAGGTAATATGTCCATTTTACAGCTTGGGAAATGTTATGATGAAATAATATGCCCAATAGCAGCCCTAGGGATAGGACCGAAGAGTCCTGACCCCCAGTCTACTGTTCAAATTGGTAGACTCCCGTGTCTCCCTTAAACTGTATATTAAAACCAAGCTCCAAACATCACAGAAACTGATATCATACATAGTTTTCACTTCCCACTTTAGCACTTGATTTGCAAATCAAATTTTCAAACTTTCATATCATGGACAATGTCTTTTCATATGAATCATCTCCCCTTGCATTTGCAATCCTAAGGACCACCTCAGTGTCCATTCATGATCACATAATATTATGGTGGGAACTACAGAAATCATTTACACGAATAAGCAATCTCAGGAAAGTCTTTAGTGTATTTTTAGCTGCCTTTAAGTCTATCAACTTGAAACTAGGAGGAGCTCCAGTACTGATTGCCCAGTCAGCTGTCTGTGGACCTACAGCAATGGTCCATGGACCACAGTTTGAGAATAAATGTCCTATTGTAAATTACTAATATTCATTATTAAGATGTTGGTGTGAAGGACAATGATGACACATACAGCAGAAAGGTTTTCAACTTCAACAAAGTCCTCAGAAGAGGCTATTTAGCAAACTGAGAAATCACAGGGTGAGAGGCAAAACTCTATCATGGATTAGAAAATGATTTAAACAGAGAAAGAGGTTAATAGGGGTTTTCCTCAAGGATCTTCAGTAGGCTTGCTCTTATTTTATATATTTATTCATGATCTGGAAAAGAGATGAACAAAGAGGTGCCAAAATTTGCAGGTGACACAAAATGAATTAGGCTAGTCTATTCTAAAAAAAAAAATTGAGGAACTTCAGAAAGACCTTATAACACTAGGAAGCTGGGAAACATGGTGACAGAGGAAATACAATGTAGATAAATACACTGTTAAGGATCGGTTTGAGCTACGCATACACATCAAGTGTTATTTAGTTTTAAAAAGAGAAATAAGAGCGGACATGATAGAAATATATGCATTAATAATAATAATGAATATTTTGAAGAAAATAAAACCACCAAAACAAGATGAGGGATCTGACCATCAGGGTTTGAGTTATAATGGCTGTTAGCTCAGAATGAACACCATTTGTGCAGATAATTAGCTAATCCCAACTCAGTCTTCCAAACAATTGAATACCAGTAATACCTTCCAAATGATGCCTCTGCAATCAGACAGACTAATGGATCTTCCTGTTTCTAGTCATTCCATCATCAATTGACCTCCAACAAAACAGCCTCATGTCATAAATCAGTTCAACATCAGGGCCCTGGAAATTGAGGATCTAAACTAATCTCAATAGTGAGGAAGGAGACAGTAATCGGACTTGAGGAAAACCCATAACTAATGGGTAAGGATTTTATAAGATATACTCAATGTCATACTCCCAGAAGATAAACTAACTGTGAACTAATGTGATTAGCAGGATTTTTTCTAAATTGATGGTAGGCAGAAGTTTATAAACTTTTATCTCTCTCAAGCTTCTCAGGAATGGTATCAAATAATCCTTCCTAACAATCTGAACCGTTACAATTTGGGGGTGAGCTCACATAAACCCTTGTTGTTGGCAGACCCATACAGAGATGGTCTAGGAGTTATTACCTGAATGTTATGATCATGGTTTTAAGCATGGATTTGAGCCATTATAAAAGTTAAAACTTGATTTTTAAAATGTATCGCCTTCTGGATCAGGAAGCAATGTAATTACTGCAAACCAAATGTCAGAAGCCATCCAGGAAGTATGTGGGGGTTCACCATCTCTTTTACATATAGATCAGCGGTTCTCAGACTGTGGGTTGGGGCCCCAAAGTGGGTCTCAACCCCATTTTAATAGGGTCACCAGGGCTGGTGTTAGACTTGCTGGAGCTCGGGGCTGAAGCCTGAGCTGAAGTCCAAGCCCAACCACCTGGGGCCGACGCCCAAAGGCTTCAGCCCTGGGCAGCGGGGCTCAGGTTACAAACTCCCCTGCCCAGGGCTGAATCTCTTGGGCTTTGGCTTGGCCATGCCCCCCACTGAGGGGGGCAGGGCTCTTGTGGGCTCAGGCTTCAGTCCCCGCCTCGTGGGGTCATGTAGTAATTTTTGTTGTCAGAAGGGGTTCAAGTACAGTGAAGTTTGAGAACCCCGATATAGATGGTCTCTGTACAGACCTTTGAGAATGAAAAGATATTAATCAGTACCAGAATATTTATAAGTATCGGGTAAGGTACAACCATTTGGTTTAGGTAGTGTGTTTGGAATATGTCCATTAAAGTAAAGTTCTTAACAAAGTTGACTTGTATTAAGGTGAAGTGTTGTTCATTCATTTAAGAAAATCTCTGACTTCCAAGATATTGATGCACGAGGTGAAACAGTGATTTTTACTACGAGTGTCTTGTACTAGCTGTGATATTTCTACTAAACATCTGTGCTTTTCAAAAATATGCCACTTAGTCCATTGACCAAGTGAATCAAAAGTATCAAGACTATACTAGATTTATTGGCTAATAAAATGAATCCGTTTTAGCTCAGCCTAGCTGAATATAAAAGTAGCTCACTATCAACAGCAAAGCTGCTCTTTCATCTCTGATGGATTTTTTTTTTTATTTGTAATCAAAATGTGAATTTGCTTTCCCTAAGCAAGGTAACTGAAAAACTGGTGTTGCCTATTAAGGGCCCAATGAAAAGCCATTGACTTCAAGGGGCTCCGGTTCAAGCTCTAGCTAATCCAAATCTGTAACCTCAATAGCTGTGCATGTTGTAACTGTATTATGCTGACCCACAGTGAACCCTAAACAGCTGCCAAATAAAAATTAAGTGGTTATCCGGCAAATCCTTATTCTCACAGGGCCAGCCTGTGGCCCGGTTTGTGCAGCCATGCAAGATTTTAAGAAATCAGATAGCAAGCAGTTCAGGGAGGAGAGCAGCCTCCACAGTGCTGCTACATCCTCTGGGTAAACTGGTGGGAACGGGTGTCCTGGGGCAAGCAGTGGAGCATTGGCATGATGAGCATGCTGGGGGAAGTATGCTGTACTAGGTGCTTTCGTCTTGGAGCAAGAGGGAATGAAGGCTGTGACAGTCTGCCTTCTGTGTGTTCCCGTGGCAGTACAATGGGGCAAAGCCATGATTGTACCTACAAATAATTTCATTGAAATAAAAAAAAAAAAAATCAATGATGCTATTTGCCTAAGGATTGCTCATGTGTGTAAGTGGGACAGAACAGAGTACTAAACCATTAGACTCTGATATTGCAAAGATTTACACGTGCTTAAATTAAACTCAATATATGCAAGGTTAAGCACATGCATAGCTTTTCACATGATTTGGGGCCTCAGTGAACTTCTCAGAATGTTGAAATCACTCTCAGTTCAGCCTCATCCATCATAATGCAACTGAGGTATTGACTGAAATTATTCTCTGTCAACAGACTGTTATGCAAAAATTAATTATCCTACACCACCTTCCTTCCAATTCCTGTAGTCAGAAAACAATAATTCATACATCGTTTTTTCTTCTTCTGTTTATTGCGTCATTATGTTCTAATTCAAGTGTCCTTCATATAATATTTCATGAATAACAGACTGCACAATAATTACACATTTATTTAGTCCAGGAATAAGTCTAGAAGAAATATGATGTCATTAAACTGTTCGCACTGATTTGTTACACCCACAATGGACTTTGATTCAGCTGCCAACTTTTTGGCATTACCATCACATAGCAGTAGCTTAATCAGCTGTTGTTACTCAATTATCACAATGTAGTGTTGTAATATAAGAGTAGCGGATTTGTTACAAACATACTATACTGTCCTTTTACAAATGTTGCACATGCAACACATTTTTCATGTAGGGGTTGACCATATTGTTGTGATCTCACGCTGAAACACATAAAATAGAGAGAGGTTTAATAAAACATTAATAACTAGTTTAGTACTTTGTGAGAAGACATTTTAATGTGCAGAGTATTCCCATCAGAACCCTTCATAAAGCTAAGAGAAATTGTTAAATGTTATGTATTATAGATGCATACAGAAAACTTTCTCCTGACATTTACTATGCTTTAATATTACATTCACAGACTTAATGGGTAGCTAAAATATTTGTTGCTAAGTTCTCTATTTGAAATTCTACAGTTACTATTTATATTGTTCTTGATAATCTATTTTAAAGGGCACTAACCACAAGCATATAACATAACTCAATAGTGGATAGGACCTGGTAAATGCCAACTATAGAATGCTGGGTAATTGTAGAGTGAGGGGCAAACCCCACCTTTCTGCCTAGGGCAGCCGTGGAACTTGGTGCAGTTCTGCTGCACAAAAGGTGGTGCTAGATTTCACATGCTATATACCATTGGTGATATGTAGCATTCTAATATTTTGCTGCCTTATGGAGTTAGGAAAATAGATCAGGAACAATGTTCAAATGATTCTAGACATCACAATGATGATAATGGTTAAAGATGACGTAACTTAACAAAACATATCAGACAGTTCATTTCCTCAGTATATTTTACATTATAATCATGTAGGAGGCTTTGAGAGGAAATGAAATCAACATTAAATTGAAATAGGTTGCTATCACTTAAACTTTTTTGCTTCTAATAAATGACAGTCTTTCTTTACCCACTTCAGGCTGGCTTGTTCATGTTTGCCATTTTGGAGTATTCTTGCTAGTGATGAAAATCAGTTTCTAATGTCTGTGTCTTATTTTCACAGACAACAACGTTAATCGGTCTTTTGAAGACAGCTAGGCTGCTGCGTTTGGTGAGGGTTGCACGGAAATTGGACAGATATTCAGAATATGGTGCTGCAGTTCTGATGCTCCTTATGTGCATATTTGCACTAATTGCACACTGGCTTGCTTGCATTTGGTATGCCATTGGGAATGTAGAAAGGCCTTACTTGATTAAAAAAATTGGCTGGTTGGATTCTCTAGGAGAACAATTAGGAAAACCCTACAATGTGACTGATCAAAGCTCTGGACCATCCATCAAGGACAAATATGTTACTGCACTTTATTTTACCTTCAGCAGTCTGACAAGCGTAGGGTTTGGAAATGTATCTCCTAACACCAACTCAGAGAAAATCTTTTCCATTTGTGTCATGTTGATTGGCTGTAAGTATTTTTTATTTTATGTTTTATTTTTAACTCAGTATTTGAACAATGAATACAATAGAGTTTAAGTTTGTTAAATTATAAACATGGAGGGAGGAAGATAGATAAATGAAAAAAATGACTATACATAAATATATATTTATAGCATATCATGCTGAGTCATGGAGTCTCAGGTATGGAATTGTCTCCATGAAATATATATAGATATGGAAATACAAAGGCTCCAATTCCATAAGTTTCTGAAGAATGTGCCTGACTTTAAACACATTAGTAGAACCTTGACTTCTATAAGACCAGTGGTGCAGGAAGTCCCTTGCTGAATTGGAGCCAAAAGGAGAAGGTCTCGGAGTGTTTAGAAAAACAAAATACAACCTTTTCTCAATAGAAAATGCTTATTTGAGCACTTTCTATGTTCAGGTGAGATTTCCAAATGTGCACAATACATTCATTAATATATGCAGCTCATATTCCTACTTGCATCTGTAACATTGCACAATCTGCATTAAAATGTCTGGTATTGGCCACTATCCATGTACTGTATTACGATCTGAAATTACTTTTTTCAGAATAAGCAGCTTCCATCTAGTTGAAAACAGTTGAGTCATGACAAAGAAAAAAGCTTTTTAAACACATAGCACATTGACAAATAAGCCCCAATATCACCAAGGCCCTCAAGTGTCAAAAGTTGAAAGACGTATAAAAAATTGAGAGTATGGATCATCTGAGTATTTGCTTTGCTCCTCTCCTGATTGTGGGTTCCAGTTCCATGTTTTGACAGGTGATAGCTGAAAAGTCAGAGATTCCATTGATCTGCCTGTGTTGTGTGGATGTTTGCCCTGTTGCATGGGAAGTGTTGTCAGGCACACACACAGGAACAGATCCAGCACTATTTGGACCTTGATCCTGCCAGTCCTTGCACCATGTGCAGCTGTGAGAGGGAAGAGAGCGTTTCTTTTGCTAGTGTGAACAGATACTGTGGACAGGCACCAATGAGTCTGTACACTAGACAGAGTCCTCAGTACTGAGTAGAAATAAGTTTCAAGGCCCTTGGGCACCCACTTCCTGACTCTCAAGAGCAGATGATAAAAAAGGGCCCTGCTGTAGGTGGAGGATAGGTGAATCTGAGGAGTCTGAGGCTAAAGTACAATGTTCCACATATCAATGATATGACTCTTTGGCCTTACTGAAGTTTCAAAGCAGAGGTAACTTGGCATCCAACCAACATTTCTCTCATAGCTGCAGGATCAGGGGTTCCATATGTTCTCTGCCCTGCTCATCACTTTTTACATTGTGTTTATAAGTGCATCACTCATGCAGAAACAAGGCCTTTATTGGCAAACTTCAACAGCCTGTAAGAGCCTGGCACCACCAACAAATTCTCCCGGAAATTCTCTGGTTCCCTCTTTCTAGCAGTTGCCTTACTGAGACCACATCATTCATTGAGTTATGTTTGATCATGTAATAGTCTCATATTCTTTACTCCTCCCATTCTGAGCCACACTCACCTACAGGGAATGTGTTAGACAGTTTGTATCAAATACAAGAAGAGGAGGACAAACATACACCTGGTAGTCTCAGCACTTGGCGACAGGAAGCAGTATAGAATTGGTCTCACTTTATTCCTCATGACCTTTACTACTGTAAATAGTTGTTGCAATGCACATGAGAACTGTTGAGTATGGCCAAATCCTCATTTCCCTACTCAATTCTTTATCAGAAAAAAATCCATTTTGGCTTCAGAGGGAACTTTTGTCTGAAGAGGCTAAGAACAATAGTATTTAGTCTGATGTGAACACATGAAAAATAGGGTACATGTTATGACACGGTACTCAATTAAAAACTCTCAGGAAAAAAAATTTCAAGTGAGGTCTCTTAGCTAAATGCTTTCATATCCCGCAGAAACGAAATGCTGCTGTTTTTTAAAATGGAACCGCCAAGGTTTGGTTCTCCCTTTAAAAAGTCTACAACTAAAGAACTGTAGGAACCATAATAGCATGGGTCTTTTACAAATATAATTATATTTATATTTTCTGAATATATATGTAGATTTTAAAACAAATTGCTTATTTAAGTCCGACCTCTATCGGACCAAATAAAGCGCTTTAGTTTTTGTGTTTCCCTGATAGCCCTTATAAAGTTGAGATAGGCAACAAGAATCATTTGAAGCCTAGATAGACGTCTGTAGGAGAAGAGAGTGAAAAGATTGGACTATTTAATTTAGGAAAGGTGACACGATAAATATATACCAAAAAAGAACGATACCAAAAAGGCTTACTGGGTTACTCCTATTTACCTTTTTCATAATGTACAAACAATGGAATAGTCAATGAAGTTGAAAAGCATTATATTTAGTGCTGATAAAGGAAATACTTTTGTTTTTACTGAACATAAAATTAATCTGTGGAATTCATTTCTACCACATATTGTTTCAAGTCTATAGTTTAATGAGACTAGACATTTATATGGCAAATGAAGTTATGTTAAAAATTATAAAAACTATTCAGAAAGGATATAAGTGCTCATGCATCAGGGCATAAGTCAAACACTAACTGATGGGGGTTAGGAAGAGACTTCCCCACTGGATAAGTTGTTCCATGATTGTCCAATACAAGTTTTCTTTCACCTTCCTCTGAAGTATTTGGTACTTTACTAGAAGTTCTGTTTGTAAGACACAGAATACTGGGCCAGATGAATCATTGGTCTGATTCATATGGCAGTTCCTATGCTCCTCTGACTTGCTTTTCTGATCCATTAACCCATCATAGAGTCTCTCCTTCTGTTAATGACAACTGCTAAAGGAAAAATATGTAATGTTAAGGTATTCCTCACAAAAATTGAGACTTCATAGCAGCAGTAGCCAATGTCTTTAAAGATAGAACCACCTTTTTATGGAAAACTATTGTTTTAGTAGAGCTTAATTTTAAATCAGATTGAATTTGTTTAGGGATTGGTAATCAAGGTGCAGCTTTGAAATTCTCATTGAAGTTCTAGAGCTTTGATGTAACATTAAAGGAATTTACATCACAGTAGCTTTTCTCCCTTAGATGAAAGGAACAGTGTCTTCTTTGTCTTTCCAGGAAAAAAAAATCAAAATGAATACTATAAACTGGTGGTGCTGTGTGTCTCATTTGGAAATTTTACAAAATCTATTGAGTTACCAAAAACAGAAATTTTAAGGAGTAGAAATCGAATGCACTAAAACCAGCCTTAGACTCTCATCCTGCAAAGGACCCACAGAGTCCTATTTATGTCAGTGGTGTGCTACATAGGCATGTCTCCTTACAAGCAAATTGCTTTACAGGATAAGGAGCTGAATTTTCAGTGAGTTATTGGAGCTATTTAACCTAAAGAGACTTACATCTGATTCTGCTTTTTATTTATGTCAGGAGCATGTGTCCAGAATGGCTCCAAACATTTCTCATATTATAACAGATTTTAAAATACAAAATTGAGATTTGGCTGCAAACATCCAACAGTCCATCCAGTCTCCATTATTTCAACCTATGTTATTTAAAACTCTGCGTTATATGAAACTGGATCTTGTCCCCCTATAACATTTAATTAGATTGAAAAAGAATCTGTTACTCAAACTAACCTCCCAATAGTCTTTAGATAATCAAGGTTACACTCTAGTTCAGTTTTAGGCCCCAATCCTGCCAAACCTTATGTATCTGCTTACTTTTACCCACTGCAAGCAGTCCTGTTGAAGTCTATAGGTTGGTAAAGTTAAGCCACAGGTGCATAATCTTCACAGGATCAGAACTAAAAATCTTCAAAACCAAACACTGCAATCGTGTTTAGCTAATATTTTTAAAACTTCTTTCAGTGAATGTTCCTTCTGTGAAGCTCACCATTAACATACTCAGACAATTAACAAGCTATGAATGTCTTTCTTACATCAGGCAATATCAAATCCAGTTTCTGTTTAGAAGACCAAAATGTCACTAAATCTGATCTGAGCTGTTTTCCATACTAGTCTCTGCAGTAATAACAGCTGTGTTGTGTGCAGAATGTAGTGATATTAGCTAACTGTTTGTTTCTATCTAATCCAGCATTAATGTATGCGAGTATTTTTGGAAATGTATCTGCAATAATCCAAAGACTGTATTCGGGAACTGCACGGTATCACATGCAGATGCTGCGAGTAAAAGAGTTTATACGCTTTCATCAAATCCCCAATCCTTTGCGGCAGCGGCTCGAGGAGTACTTCCAACATGCGTGGACATACACCAATGGCATTGACATGAACATGGTATGTAATTCTACTTTTGGAAATTAATATCACAACGTCCTAGTGGTCTAGAATGAAACGATTCTGATAATTTCGGAGATGTTAGATTATGTTTCTTTCTCGCAGGTTTACTTTTTGCCCTAGAGACAGGCCCAAGTTCCCAATCCGTGTCATCACATGGTATTGAAACAAGATGTCACATAGCAGTGTCCTATTATACAGTGCAATGTAGCATAGACCCATAAGATATCACTTTCCCCCTTTTGGAGAAACTGTATCAAGTCAGTAGACACAAATTCTTGGTATTCTCCACCACTTCTAATTTGGTTGTGTGTTAACCCTTCTCCAAATCCCAGTCTCACAGACTTTGGAACATAGCACACCATCAGTTTTTACATTGAGCAGCTCAGTGAAACCAAAGGGAGTTCTGCATAAATATTTACAGCATGCTATGGCCACCTGAAAGTTTGGAGCAGCCCAGATTCCATTGTTAACATGGAGTTCCATGATTAATGAGGGGGGCAGCCAGTGGTGTGGCACAGGTGGTGAGGAAGAGACAATGGCCAATATTTTTTTAATGGTTAATAATTGTGGTGAGTGCTTCAATTTTTGGGTGCCAGAGTTGGGATGTTTTAAAGGTACCTGATTTTCAGAGAATGGATACTCAGCACCAAAGTTGGGCATCCAAAAACTGAGGCATTCCAAATCACTAGTCACTTTGAAAATCTTGCCTATAGTACTAATCATTGAACTCCTAGTGCTGATACATGCGGCACAGGTTGGGAACCATGGCTGGGTGCTATGGACTAAAAAAAAGAAGTGGGGAGAAAGAATCTTAAGAACACTTGCTCCAAATGCAGCTTTTTTCAGGATTTCTTTTAAACATTCAGCTTGATCCAGACACCTCAGTTTCACCCCAGTGTAACTCAGTTGGAATATACAGCATTACACTTGCATAAAATCAGTACAGAATGAGGCCCTTTTTCAGCATTTCATGACACAGCACTAGTACAACGTAGCATGTACTTTGGAGGTGGGGAAAGTGGATTAGTTGGCATCCCAAAAGAGAAGAATTCTAATCAGAAAATAGCCTGAATAACAACTGAGCTCCCACCCACCAATCTCCATGTCTTTGCTGAAAGCCATCACAGTATTAACCATTCAGCAATTCACAGAGTTCTTACTATTTTAGAAAGAAATGCCAGGATACTTTTTACCCATGACACTTGATTATAGACACTGATGGAATATTGTAAATAAGTCTTATATCAAGCTACAGACTATGGCATGCTAAAAGGAAATAACATCATTAGCAGAAGTAGGCATCCACTTGCTTTGCTTCTTTTCCAAAAGACAGAAATCTCCTTTCTGATAAGTTGAACCACTCAAGTTCAAGCCATCAATGGTATAATACAAGCTCAGATAACTTCCTAAGCTATTCTAAGACTGATGGATCTGAGACCTTGCCTAGCTTTCTAAATGGTTGGAAGGAAAAGAAACTCCACAAGTTTCAGTACAATGTAAATAGAAATTAAACCCTTACTAATGTTGCCTTAAATATAAAATCTTCCAGAAGGGTGGTTGTTTCTCTGTGAATAAGTTGGAAGAGTGCACACCTTACGTCAGTAGATAAGGGCAGTGATTTGATAAAAGGCATTTAGGGCTCAACCACTGATAGCTTGACTTCTTGGTTACTGTGACATAAAAGCAGATTTTATGGGCAACAACCTATAATCAATCTATAAACAATTCCCCATTGCCCACACGCACACAGTCAGACACACTTGTGCAGGCTTTGCTGCACCTCAAGGGAGAATTCCTACCCCAGAACAGGTGGTGTTTGCACAAGCCTCTCTTGGAGGTTACACTAGTGGAAAGGCAGCATCAGAGCTTGATCCTATATGTTACTGAATGGCCCTAACTCTCATTGAAGTCAGTGGGGTTTGAGATGCTCGGCACTGTGCTGGATCAAGTCCTTGAGTTGGAGTAGGTCTGATCTAGTCCAGCACAGTATTTCTGAAGGTATTAAATAACAGGAGTGCACCTTAAAAGGAACTCCTTCACCTTTGATTACTGGATGTGACTGCTATGGAGACACCTGTATGAAACAGTACCCACAAATTGGATGTTGTCTGGTTAAACTTTGCATAATGCAGAAATTGGTATGTTGGGAGTTGTCTTAGATTTGTCATTTATGTGAAATACAAATTAAATGGATTAAATATCCCCACCTACATCAATATGATTGTGAGGCAGTATGAAGGTTTTGTTTTAAATAAAATATGAAACAATAACAATCCAGATTAGTGGCTTGTGTTTGTTATATTTTATTTCTTACTCTCTCATGCTATTCTATCTCTCAAGTCTATGACAATCATTTAATTTACTTTTAATGTGCGTTTGTTTGAATATATTACACATCAATTCAAGGTTGATATGCCAGTTGTCTGATTTATGTTGTACTTATGAAAGATTTATCTCTTTCCTGTCTGCTTCATTCCTAAATACATGGAATAACACCATCCACTGGTAAGAGCAGGAGGTATTTGTATCAAATTTAATTCCAGTGTAAAGTGTGGAGAATATCCATGTTATCTGTTGGGTTTAGAGCTTGTTTAATGTTTTCTATTTTTAGTTGTAACCTTTTTGCATGATGAACTGGTAGATAACAAAGAGAAACGCACCTAAATTGAATCAGGGGCAAAACAGATAAAACTGCTTGATGTTGCCACATTTATTAGACAGTTTTATCCCACAACTCTAATCAAACTTCTCTGTCGAAAAAAGGTCATGTGTATATGATATTCATTAGATAGTTGCTCTGTAGAAATGTCACACTCTGATAAACTTGCCATGCTGATCATTCTGCATTTTCCTTTTTATGTGAATGCTTTTAGTTCAAACCCCATATGCATGTTAGCAGCAAGTACTGACGAAGCTTTCCAGGCTCTAAACCATGTCCATATGCAATGGACTGGCATGTGGTTTTGAGAGTTTGAACTTGCATGAAATCTCTATATTTACATCCAAAGGGACCAATTCTGTCCTCAGGCAAGTGTGTGACTCCTGCCAACTTCAACCGGAGTTTTGTGTGAATATCTAAGGGCAGAATTTGATCCTGACTCTCTCCCTCCTCCCCCATCTCATCACTGAAATCTGAGTAAAAATAAAGTCTAAAATAATTTTCCTTCTTTGAAACCTGAAATTTATGAATAATTTACATCATATACATAACTAATAATATGAATTTTGTTTCAAAAAATGCTTTTACGTGTCAGGACTAATAATTTAAGAATTCAGGGAAAACAAACTAACTTTTCACTTAAGAAATAATACTGTACTTAGATAAATAAACTTGCTTTCTTTAAAAAATCCTGCAGTTTTTTTACTGAAAATAAGGAGATAATATTTCATGTTCATCTTAGATGACTAAACATAAAAGTAACTTTAAAGCTCTGGTGGTGAAATATGATAAGAAAATGATTAATTTGTTCCTCTCTGCTTCACTTCTACATCTCTTTGATTTTGATGCATTGCATAATGTATTTTGATAAAACAGTTGTACTGATAATATAATTTTGCATGGATTGGATAAACAGTATTTAGGATTTACTTTAATCTGGATCAAATTCTTGAGTCTACAGAATAAGCATAATTTAAATCATGCTGTTATTTTATTCACTGGCAAAGTTAGTTACAAAAGATGATTTATAATGAAAGCTCCTGCCAGTCTCTGAGATTTAAAAGGATTGTTTCGTTATGTTCTAGAATTTTTCAAACTATCCTGTTCTGTTTTTCTTGTATTCTTTTCTCCTTATGTTTTCCACTTCCTTCCAATATTATCAGTCCAGCACCCACTGATAACAGCATGACTGTACTACCCCTTATAGAAAGAAGCAGTACTTAATATCTGAAGATCCTTTTTTCAATTATGCATGTGTTTCTTCTAACCCCCACTTTCCCATGGATTTTTCTGTGCATCACGATAGGTGTATTGGTTTATTTTGCCTAAAAGAAAGTCCAAAATAAGTGGGCCATGCTCTGGGAAGGGTTTGCCCAAACATGTATTTTAATTAACATTTCAAATATAGACTGAAGGAAGTTTTACTTTTTATTTTTGGATTTAGTACTATAAAAGGGGATAACAGGTCATCATTTCTTTCAATATACCTTTTTAGGCTCTTCTCCTGCAAGCACTATGAATATGCTTAATTTTGACGCATGTGACTAGTCTCATTGGCTGCAATGGTGCTAGCTGTGTGTATAAAGAAAAGCACCTGCATAACTATATGCAGGATATGGGCCATAAATGGTACTGTACCAAAAAGGCATCTTTCACCAGCTGGTAGTGCACAGAAGTTTCTCAGTTTTATATTCTGTGGTACAACTGTTTCAACACAGTCTACATTTGCTTATGCTCCTCATACAATCACTTCTGAAGCCCAAAGTGATGCTTCCATCATGTGCTATCTATGTACATCCCAGAAAGATAAGAGAATAATTCACATTTCACAAGCCAAAGTGAGGTTACTTAACTTAACTCCATCCTGACCAGAGCCATTAACTACATTGATTTCTCTATCACATCTGAACTGTACCCAGATTGCAAGAGTTTGGATCATTAACCTGTAAATGAATTGGCTGAGATTAGAACTGAGTGGGAATTTTCCAACAGAAAGGTTTTTTTCTGAAAATGTCAATTTGTTGAAACTGAAACTTTTTGCAGGAACATGCCAGCTGTAATGAAAACTTTTGATGCAGAATGGGAAATTTTCTGAAAATTTTCAAAATAAAATGAAATTGCAGGACAGTTTCCTACTCAGTTTTACTTGAGACAGCCAAAAAGTACTTCAAATATGAATAGACTGGGAATTGGGACGTTGGTTTTTTCCTTATCTATTGTAATAATGGCTAATGAACAAAAAAACTACAGCTAATTGAGAGATCCAACAGAAGAGACTTATGAGACTTGAGTATATGAATAAACTAATCTTGTATCAATAGTTCATTGCATTGTTTTG